AACTATTTATTATACTAAACATATTTGTAATTACGAAATTGTTGGCTACAGTATTTCACTGAGCAACAAAAAAACTTCCTACTGCTCAAAAGTGGATAAGCATAGGCTAAAATCTGCATGTAGATCACCACTGATAAGCGGCGATAAAACCAAAAGTCCTTAGCAAGCGATTTAGTACGTAAATGAAATTAAGAAATCAACATCACTAATAAATATTACACTACCAATATGCGGGAATGTTCAAGAAAATCATTAAAATTGAAAGCAAACTGTATTCCTAAATAGCCATATTTATGGTGCATTATAGTTTGGGGAAAAGATAAGATTTGTTTGTGAGCAATACTCATTTAAATTATATACTAGTAAAGCATACCTATTCAAAAATTGTGTAGAATCACGTAATTTTGATATTTCCCCATTTTGAATTTCATTCTTCCGAAGCTCATAAGCTGCCATTGCTTGATGGACAACGACAGGCACAAGTTCACTGAACAAATCTAAAAGAAGGCACAACATGAGCAGATTAACGTTGACAGAAAAATATTTACCTTGGAAATTTTGGCTTAAAGGATAACCCAAGGGTACGATCTTAGCAAGTTGTGCTTTCCCAATAGCAGCAACAGATTTGATATCGGGTATTCTTTCGTGGTAAATAAAGTCATTGTCTTTTTTTGCTTCGTTTAAATTTCTTTGTGCTTTGTTGGCAAAATCTTGGAACATAGCTGCCTTTCCAGATCTGGTTTGTGCAGCTTTGAAAAGTTCCATGGCGCTCTAAAACAATGTGTAAATGATGCTAAAATTGAGTAGGTAACTACTTTACCTCAAGTCGAGTGATCTGTTCCCCAATAATCTTGTTGCTCTTACATACGAGACTTTGATAATACTCGGCTATAGCATGATAACCCGCCTGCTTCCCTGCAATCTGAAACATAGTGTCAATGGCAGTCGCTTTCGCATTATTGCAAAACACATACAGTGGCTATCCAGTCGCGATCCCAAAGTTGCTTTAAATTTTCACGTTGAAACATTTTCAAACATTCACTATATAAGTCTTCACACTGCGACGATAATTTCGCAACAATTTGATCCTTCATTTCATCTGAGGAGATTATTTCAATTCAGTATCGGATATTTAATGAGGGGGATTCTTACCGTGAATAGCTTTCAGGACAAATATTTCTTGGGCCTGAGCTAACATTAACGCCGACAATGCTCCAAGAGTATCGGGATTTAAATCTGGTGTCGGATCTTGTTGAATCGATAACATTACTGTAGATTTCAAATGGGAAAAAATGCCTGCAGCTTGCTAAAACAATTTCATAAATTAAAATATTAGAAGTAGTTAAGTTTGTTTACTTAATTTATATTCCACATAATGTACAGAAGTTTTTGGAAAATATACTTCCCAGTTCGTTAATAATAATAATAATAATAATAATAATAATGTGCCATTTTATACTTCTAAAATAAACATAAAGCTATATAAAACGGTAAAAAAAAACTATATTGTATTATCATATCTTTTAAAAATAATTATTATAGCAAGTACAATGCACAAAGATGAAAGTTATACAATTACAAAATTACTTGGCAACTCCTTGAAGACCTTATTTACTTTCTGATAAATAACAAATTCATATATCTGAATCAAAGTCACGTTAATGACACTTAAAAATTGTAAATATAGTAGGAAAAATGTAAGGATGATTAAACTGTGTAAAAAAAACTTAATCCGTTGGACTATGGTTTACATCGAAAACCGCTGTATTTTAATTCTACAAGAGACAAATTATCCAAAGGACCCTGAAGATTTGTCTAAGCCATTTAATTGCCAGACTATGCTTCAGAGAAAAAGTATGTCCCTGCAGAAGATTGGAACTAATGTGTTGTGACTTTTGTAAATGTAAAGGTAGTGTTTTGGACCAATGCAAAAACCGTGGGAAGTAATCAGTGAAACTTTCTTTAACAAATTAAAATCGAGCCATTGTGTGGGAAAATATTCTTAAACAAAAATCTAGCAACGTGGCGGCCATTTTTAAATATGGCGACCAAACCACCATGATCTGGTCCATGTGACCAATGTTTTTTAAGCTCCGGCCTATAGGTGTTTAATAAGGATCCGCTCAAAAACTTAGAGGACATGAGGCAGCTAACTCACTGTCTGCATTATTTATTTTCTAAACTTGCCGCATGCCATCACCTATCGCTCCTGTGTAAGTGCAACGTAGCGGAAATTACGCAGCATGAACTTCCGGTACACGTTTCTGTCCAGAAATGGCCGTCTAACTATCCCACTTAATCCTGTACACGGGGTTCCAGTATGTCTTTTTTTGCCCACTTATCTTCATTAATTTGGGGAACAATACCGGTGGTGCATAGGGATTTCATCGGTAAATTCTCTTATAGTCAATTACTAGGCTCCCCTAATATTTTAGAAGCAAAAGTCTTATACGTTTTTTTAGAGAAAAAAATACTCCATCTGTTCATACTATTACTAAATAATTTTCCGTTTTTTCAAAAACCGTAGAATCGAACAAAAATTAAAAAGGTTTTCATTTTACAATAAATCAATATGGCTTGGAATTACCTAAAAAAACAGCGATCACGTTTCATTATTTGCCTTTGAACGGTATATTAAATTTATATTTAGTTAAGAACTGCAGTACATAGTTCAAAATGTCCGTGAAAAACCATCAGGAAACGACAATACATTTCAACGTTTTGGCTGCAGTAGCGGAAATCGAATATAAGTTTACGGAAACAAATCTTCATCAAATACAGTTTTTTTTTCTTCGATTATGTAGGTACTCTGATTCCGGAAAATGATAAACAATAGTATCCTGAATACAGATGCAGCATAACATTCTTTAAAAACATTACCCTAAGATGCCTTTTATTGCGTCGGTTTTACGTTTGAAACAGAATTAAAATGAAAATCGTTGGACGTCAAACAACGATAACTTGCAATGCAAATGGGCCCCCGCCTTTGTAGTTTGTTAAAAGATTCCAAGATCACCTGATCTTATAAAAATGTATTTTTATTTGTCGATTTCTACGGTTTTTGAAAAATGGAAAATTACAACTAAAAGTATGAACAGATGCAGATTTTTTTCTCTAAAAAAAACGTATTTAGAGTTTTGCTCTAAAATAATTAGGGGAGCTAGTAATTGACTATAAAGAAATTACCATTGAAATCCCAATGCTGCGTTGCGCTAGGCACCACCCTGTATAAGAAAAATTTTAATACTTTATCTGCACCGACTAAAAATGTAATACCTAACTAATTCAATTCAACATAAAGGGAGTGCCCAACAAAATACTTTTTCAAATTCTTTAATCTAATGGGACACCTTGCATATTTTTATAGTTTTGAGTAGCCCTGTATTTAATGATTACAAATATATTATATAACAGTAGTTTCATTCCTCGTTCATTCTTTACTAACACATTTCTATTTCTTGAGGAAGTGGTACAAGAATTTGTGTTTGTTCATACAAGAACTGCGCCAATTTCTGCGCAAAAGCGTAAAACGCGACCTTGATCATTGAGTTATGTTGTTAAGAGTCTTCTTTACCTAAGCGCAACTTTTTTACATTATAGTGTATAGATGATTATAGCTGCAAGAGATAAGATGAATTTCTTGCTTTGTCAACTCCTGTCTTGGTCCTTAGTTAGTTCCCACCGACACTGGGCAGCGGCTGCACTTGTTACACTCAAATTGTTGATTTATCGCCCGCCAAGATACAGACATTATTTACAAAAATTATGATTTAATTTTTTGGGGTCATGTTTAGAAGTAACTTATCTAAAAAACTGTCGGTTTACTTTTTCCATAAATCGTCTTGATCGAGAGTAAAAAAATAAAACAGATTAGCGCAATAATCGGTGCGAAACATCTAATCTTTAAACATTCGGTATTAAGTTGCTATAAACTTTTTAAAAAAAATAGTCCGAACATTTTGTAGATAAAGGTCTAAATTTATAAAATAGTTCTTAAAAAAAATTGTTTTTTGAAAAACAACTAGAGTTTTTATGGCGGGCGCTCTTATGGAAATTTACATTGGGTGCAGTGGGTACAGAAGACTCTTAACCAGTAATAAAAAAATGGTTTATTTATGATTCTTAATTTTCGTAGCTTCTTATAGTTTGAGATGAGAAATGTTTAGTTTTTTCATATGCATGACGATTTTGTATAGTAGCAGTTACTGCTATCTATATGTTTCACAGTGGGTGCGTTCACCAGACGAAGCGCTTCACGAACGTTACAAAAATGTCTGTTGAACAACTCGCTCAACTAGCACTTAAAAATCACTACTATGAAATACTAAAAAAATTGTATTTGAAATACAAAATGTATGTATTTCTAAAGGCCTGTTTAGAGTTTGCAAGTTTTATTGCAGGCAATAAAAATTACGGCAATATTTATTGCTGCAACAAATAGCAAGTGTTTACAGTCTGCAATTTTCATTGCATAGTACCAACCCTATAACTTTAAATAAGTGTGTACAAAATATCTTCGATTTATCATTTGCATTTAACTTGTTCTTCACTTATCTATTTATTGTGCATTTCAATCAAGATGAACAACAGAGATATCAAAATATCTGCACACTTCACATCGTTGGTGCCATAATTCTAGATGTTGGCATTAAAAATTCCCCTAAAATAGTCACCAGAATTGCAATTGCAATGCAATAAAAATCGCTCCGGATCTACTTCTAGCAACGCAATAAAAATTGCAACAGTTGATCGAAAAGTACACTTGCGCGCATGTGTGCAATAAATATTGCTGCAATTTTTATTTACCACAATAAAGCTTGCAAACTCTAAACAGACCTTTAACACACATCACATGCAAGTATTCCAATAGTGCCAAGCCTTGTCATTATCCACATGTTATTTGAAGAACCGAAAAATCAAAAAATAGTCATGCAAGTAAAAGTTTGTTGATCTACATTTTACAAAACTCACAAAATCAGCTCTAGCAGCAAGAAAAGGTCGAGGAAAAGGGCTCTAAAATAACCTATAGCAGAAAAAAACGAACCAAATAACACCCAGTTTGTATTTTTCGTGTTCGTGAGTTAGTGATAATAGTATATTACATTATGAGGAGCTAAAGTGTTACTTTTTATGGCGAGTCAGTGTTCCAGCAAAATACTGACGAGCCATAAGAAGTGACTTCAACTACTCCTCCATTTGAAGTAAAAACCAATCCAGTTTTTGAAAATACTTCATTCATTCATTAGAAATAAGACGAGCTAAACAAAACTTGACTCTTCAAAACTTGGATGCTGCAGGAACGAGCTCAGAGTTTAATTTCAATAATGGTAATATGACTAACAGCACTTTCAACATTAACTATTATTTAAATAAATAAATAGCTTCTTTGATCGACTATATTTTTATTTCTGTTAAAATTAGAAGGAAAGATCAACGCACTTGCTAGGTGAACGAAGAACCTAATGTAAATAACATCAAATTGTCAAAGCAAAACAATGTGACACTGGCACTGAAGGGTTTTAATGCCTAGGCACTAAAATACTTCACTGCCGCTTGTTCGATTGTTCTAAAAAGTCAAACTTTAACTCAGTGCTGGGCTACGTAATGTCAATATTATATGACGTTTGAAGAAAAAATATTTTTTAAACTACATTATTATAAAAGTCGAAGTAGCATAACATAAAGGAAAGTAAGTCAGTAGTAGATAAATATGCTGCATCAGAAGAGCAATTGTTTAAATTGCTTCCTACATAACATTTAAATCTTTAATGCGACTCTTAAGTGAACACATTACAAAAATCTTTTGTGGAATTACCTGCAACAGTTTAGCGGCCAGTTTCAAGCTTTCATCATTCTCAACACTTTGTGTTGCAGCCACTGAACTCTGTAGCGCTGCAATGTTAAAGAGGATGCACATTTTTTCGTATGCCAAAGATGAAATTGCTAAAAAAATCGACACTAACTTGGGTTAATCCTGATACCTTCAACTTACTTAAACTTATTCGACCACCAAAAATGGACCCTTTATCGAAAGCATCCTTCCACTTGAAGGGTATTTGGACTTCTTGTGCGGGTACTTTCGTTTCCAAAGAAACAAGTTGATCATAGTAGCTGCAATACAAATTTCGTTAACGATACAAGAACAAACGAGTAACAAGACGGACCTGTAAATGACTTCCAACGAACTTTCGTACTTCTCAAATGCTCGCCAGATAGCATTATTCCGTAACTTGGAAAACTCGTTGATTTGTTCAGAATAGTCTTCGGGTTGGTCCGCAGTGCTGTACCTGGACTGAATTAGATTCTTCAAGGGGTTCACAATATCAACTTCTGACGGTTTCTTTAAGGGCACCGATAATAAATCTGCCATTTTTAGGTATTGAGGAATTCACAAAGGAATTCTGGACACCAATTATTTATTACAGTGGTATTTTGAAGAGGTGATATCACCTCCAACCAATCTAAATCTTTCTTTTATTTAGGATGATTAACCGTCAAGGACAATGGTCAAAGTACGAACTGTCTACGAATACATTGCGAAGAAACCCGGACGTGACTGCATTGCGGTAGGGTAGGGACAATTTCAATGTGCTACGATGCCAGATCTAACAGAAAAGTCACCTTTTTTCGTTGGTTACTATATACAAGGCTTTTATTTCAAAACAAGAACGTTAAAAGTGCCTAACGTCCTTGTTTCAAAACAAACCACTTTAGTTTTTACCACGGTGGTATACACAGGTCTGGAACCTTAGATCATAATGTATGATGTAAGCTGGAAAACCTTTCTTTGAGATATACGTCACAGAGCCCGCCACAATCATTATTCATATCGTTTTGAATAAACCCTTAAAACCGCACATGTTCATTATTTTTTTGCTAATCAGCCTCTATTTTTAAATAATTTACTGTCCAAAAAAATGTTTTATGGTTTCAGGTAGGAAAACGCTTATTAAATTAGAACTACGGGGAATTCAACTATACTGTAAACCCCCATTTAGTGTACCTATAATAAGGACAATAAACACCAGCCGCTTAAAAAATGTATTGACATTTTTAACATTTTATAATTTTATACAAGCAGATTACGCTTGCTGTTAGAACAAGTGCATTTGTGCTAATGTAGGTATGCAAACAAAAGAATAGACGTAATAATAATAAAATAATAATATAATAATAATAGCAGCTTTTCACGTGTTTAGTACATATAATTAATCGGTTTGCCTTTATTGAAAGGTGCTACTGTTAAATTCACTAAGATCGGTCCACAAATAAGAGTTACTTCTGCGAATACGCGCACGTTGGTTTTCACATGTTTAATTCATTAAACAATTGATTTGGCTTCATTGAAAGGTGCTACTGGTAAAATTTCATCATGATTGGTAAATTGGTTCATAAATAAGAAAGTGAAGGAGCCAGAAACGTAATATAAAAAATTACACAAATTCTGCATCGGTCGGGAATCGAACCCGGGTCGGTCGCGTGGTAGCTACAACAATTCAATGCTACAACCATTGTTGCTACGCGTCGGTCCGGTGCAGCGCGCTCTGTGTGAGTATCTTAGATCATATAAACAATGATCTAAGGTGAGTTGAGTATAGTATAGGCAGGGAAATGCGCGAGCTGCGCGCCCCCACTTCGCTCTAGTGAGCGGTACCTAGACGAACGACGACGACGACGGCTAGCATGTTATATATGGATATGGATCTGTAGGTAGATCGACTAATCAGGATAACTAAATTATGACACTCAAGTGACACATTTTTTTATTACCTATGTTGTACACCATTTTACAGCCCGCACTTATTTTATGTCTTAACATAATTTTAAGCGACGCAATCCCATACAGAGACTTGAGAAGTATCCTCAGCAAAAAAAATACCATCAATTGGCTCGATAGTTTCAACAACAGCGACGTTTCACCAAATCCTTATTGTCGAATATGTTGTATAACTATAAAATCTGAAACTATCGGGAAACAATGCGGCTGGCACACACTCTGCAAATATAAGGTGGGTTGCTGTTGCAGTAATATGCCAGTTGCATGCGGTCTCCAATTATAGCAAAATGAGGTCGGCCGCAAATGTCGGGGATATATTAAAATTCACTTTACAAAATCCGAGAGGGACGCACTTTTAGACGCTCACAATACACTCAGAAATTACGTGGCTAGCGGACAAGAAAGGCGTGGAAATCCGGGACCTCAACCCAGTGCCTCCAATATGAGAGCCTTACAATGGAGCGAAGAACTGGCACTGGTAGCAGATCGATGGATTAGTCAGTGCATATACTCCAATGATATTTGTAGAGATCTAGGTTTGCAAATGCATTTAAATTATTAGTACCTTAATTACATATTGTAGACCGGTTTCCGGTGGGTCAAAATATTGTACGGGGAAACTTTGCTACGAATGATTTACTGTCTTTCATTAAAGAGTGGTACGATGAAGTCTTGTACTTTAATGCCATTGAGGTAGACTCCTTTCATTTGTATGTATCTATAAATATGAAAAAGAATTTCAATTGCCAAGTTTTAGACCAGATGGAAATAGTTCATTATTTACCAAATATACGCAAATGATGTGGGCAGACACATATCAAATTGGTAAGATTTTGTATAAGTAATAATGTGTTCATTAATCTGTTTTCTGTATGGTAAGGTTGTGCCAGAGCAGCTTTTCAGACTCCGATAGGTTCCAAAGTAAGTTACGTAGAACACTTTTTCTGTAATTACGGGCCGTCTGGAAATATTCCAAATCAACCAGTTTATTTAAAAGGACCAGCCTGCACTGCATGCCCTGAAGGAACAAGTTGTACTTTGGAGTATCCCGCACTTTGCGAAGGTGAAAAAAATATATATACTTATATAGGATCCAAATATTCACTGGTCGTTATATTTGTAGTGGATATAGCGATAGAACTGGAAAAAGCAGCCTCAGGTATAATGGTGCGGAAGCAAAGCCTTAAATCAAGGGTGAAGTATCATAATACTGGAGCTTCATCAGTGAAACCACCCTTACGGAGTTATGCGTACATATTTCTTCTGTATTGGACATTTTTATAATTGTGATATATCATAGAAAAAAGTAACGTTTTTCCGAATTAGAAAAACACTGTTGTATACCAGAGGGCTATCGAATTCATAAACATCCGTACTGGACATTGTTTTTTGCGACTCTGTAATTATTAAAAAATTACATATAATTATAAAATAGGCAAGGCGAGACGCAAGGTATAGATCTCATAGGGGAACGAAATAACATCCTCTACTACTCTCGGCACCCATTACTATAATGATCCATTTATTTTCCAGTCACTAAACACAAAGCGCCGTATTCAATCGAAACGTAAGAATAAGAATGGCATTTTACAACTTATCCCGTATATAGAGGGTACCACCGTCACCATCATTAATTTGTCAACGACCTTCTTTTTTGTCGGCAGCCTGTGTGCAGATGTGAGATGTGTCACGTTCGCCTTTAGTTTCAATATTAATTAACATTGATAAAAACTGCATTATGTACAGATGCACAGTGATATTTTAACATACTTAGGTAGGTATTAATTTTTTTATTTTTTAAATTAAAATTAAAAAGAAAGCAAGGACTGAACTTGTTAAGCGATCAGGTAAACAAAGAAAAAATCTTTTAAAAAATGGGGGTCCCTATTTGAAAATAAAAGGTGTATGACGCTAAAAACTAAAAATATTTGTAAAAAATGTTTTTAACAGTCATTAAGGTTCCTCCTTTTATTTTTACTCGTAGTTAGTTGTACATTGTAAAATCAGGTCTCAATACTTTTATAAAAATTCTAAGATATTTTTGAAAAATGTCATTGCGGGGCCCCAACATTTTTTTTTCAAAAATCCGTGCCATTATTTTTCATTCCCATATGGTTAATATACATATCCAGAACTCAAACAAAACCTGTCAAGTCGTTACCTCGAAAAATTGGCAACGGACGTACTTACAGGGTGTTTCAAATTCGTGGCTCATCATTGGGATCTCTGAAATGATGAAAGATGCAGTTTAGGTTAAATGGGGGCAAAGTTGTGATTTTTATGGTAAACAAATTATCCGAGAAGTTTTAGATACTACACCCTGTATTAATAGGGATGTAATGGAAGTGGTTATATCGGAACCGAATTCTGAAGCAGAGTTTGGTTTATTGGAACGGAAATCGGAAATGGAACCGTAATCACAGGCAGAAGAGAGAAGAAAGTGCAAAATCAGTAGGAAGTTCCGCTCTTTCAATTTTAGTAACAAAAACAGATAATTCTTTCAACACGCAAATAAAGAACACAATCGAACTGTTGTTTTGTACAAAAGCTATTCGCGTCAATTGTTTGAAAATTTAATGAAATTGAAGCATCTTTTAACAATAAATGAAAGATCAACAACTATTCTGAAAGAATGTAGAAAATTTGCTGTGACTAGCACAGATACCACCCGCACACTGTATAAAAGTAACGAAATGTGCTAACGTTGGGTTAACCATTACACTGTACTAAATAGAAAATAAATTTCAAATTGACTAAGATTACTAACAATGATTATTTTAATTTATTATTCAATCAGAATTACATAAACTTATATAAAAGTAATTTTTTTTCTCTCAAACTATCTTAATAAGTCTAATATAAAAGTAAACTTATACAGACACGTCATTGATCAATATTATTTATATGTACAATTTTTACAATGTTTAGTGTAATATAATGTAATAGTAGTTATGCTATTGGTCATTTCAACAATTGAAACTGTGTATCGTTATGTAATAAACTACCTTTAGATAACATCTATTTAATAAATATTTATAAAGAATATAAATAATATAATAAAGGTTTGTGATCAGCATTGGTGATTGGTTTTTGCCATTCTGTTCGTAAACTTAAAAAATATGAAGTGCAAAAGAAAAAAGTTTCGTGAATAGAGAGTAAATAGGTTATAAGTGTTTCGCCTTACATTCTTTCAAGATTTTATTGAAACAGCCACACATTATTCAAGCTTCAAGATAAAACACAATCGTCGTAACTTTAAATGACGATTATAAAACAAATTAAGCACATTTCACAATTAACGACAAACAAATTATAGTTTACTGAGATCAATTTTGTTAGTAGTATGGTCAATCAACGATAAATGCCTACAAAAGTCATTGTTAGTAGAAAACCAATAAAAATGCATAAACTCAGTTCACCCGTTATAAATATTATATGAAACATACCCTCAGACAAAATATATAAATTTTATTTAAAAATACAGAAAATCAATTAAGTGCTATCACAACAATGGTGTTAAAGTTCATTGGCACTAAAGGTCACAGAGTTTTTAGACTAGCACATTCCTGAATCTGGATCAGGAGTCGAACCCCCCTTTAAAAAAAAGCTTGTCATTACACATCATTTGATAGAGCAATATTAGAATAAACTTAGTACAATTACATCACGAATCCACTAGAATCCCTTGCATTTGGTTACTAGCACAACTTATACGATGTGATTGCACCACTTTTATTCTGATATCACTCTAATACCTACTTGTACATTCCCGTTCGCTCTAGGTTGAATAAATGGATTAATTGAAACGGTACCTAAGTTTGATGAACCTAAGTCACTAAAATGAGATAGTTGTTGAGTTAGAGCCATTGTCCCTTCTTCGACTACTGTTATAATCGCCCATAAAGGATCTGTAACAAAAATAAGATACTTGAGTGAGTGAATTAGTTAAGTGTATACCAGTGCTTTCATAATTAGTTGTAAAATAGTCAATTTAAATTAAATCGCAATTGAAGATTTAAGTTAAACAAGAGGAGTCATTTTTTGGGGTGCAATAGACATTCTCAAAAGTAGAAACACCATAAGGTACATTTTTTAAAAAGAACTCTGTAACTGCTTCCAATACTGTAAGCACATCATCCAAATAAATTCAAAATCTTTTTTATGAAATTTTTACTCAAATTTCCATACCAAAAAAAAACGGAAGCAATGCCAAGGCAAGAGAAGATATGGCAGACAGATGGATACAGGCTGTCAATGAGATGTTTGAAATTAATCTTAAAATTAATACATGTGAAGGGTCTCTGCAACTGTTCAGCCTTAAGAGATTAGTAAGACCTTAAAATAATTGATAGGTATACTTGAAGCATAATATATGACCTAAGCGTCAATATTATACCTATCATTTTTTAAGGACTTACTAATCTCTTAAGACTGAAGGCCATGGAGACTCCGTCACACACATTTATTTAGATTTTTGGTCGATTACTACATAATTTCCTTTGAAATGTGTCTATGTTTATTTTCTGTGCAAAATTATAAAGTTTTAGCCTTTGTTTATTAATTAATAGTTATTCCATCGACCGTTAGTACTTTGGGTAAAGTTCAGGTGTTTATTAAGTACGGTAGGCTTCGGAAGCAATCGTTTCATTTGAAATGCCATTCGATTCAAATGTTAAACAGTGTTATCTTAATAACACATGTCAATTTGTTATTAAAGTAAAAATAGTTGCCATTAAAAAAATGTATGCCCCCCTTGACCATGCAAAGGTATGCCACTTATAAGAAATTAGATTGGTAGCAAACTTTTTATAATTATGGATAGCATACAAAACTTGCAAACATTGTAGTTTTGCAGATATATCAGCGTTCCAGACAAAATGTCCACCCTGTATAAGTCCACACGTGCTACTTAAATTTGTTGAATTACAAATTACGTTTTTACCATTCCATCCCTGATAACGAGAGATAACGAATACAATTGCACATCCACCACACCACAGGATTTCCTTGGAAATCCGCTGACATCTTCCAATATAAAGAGATTCGCAAATATTCACTGAGAATTCTTATCCAATTTATTATGTTGGGAGTCCTACCTTACCCTCCGAAATCTGTTTCGTTCTAAAGTACACAGATCAAGCTTCAGTTTTCTGTATCCATCAATGACTCCTCTCAGACTATAAAATCAATCAGATCTATTCACTAAGCAGGTTGACTTCTTGTCAATGTTGACAATTAACAAAAATGGCGGTTTTCAATTCTGTAACAGTTGCTATGGAGATTGAATAACTAAATCATTTCAAGTTGATATGAAAGTTGACAAACAGTTACATTTCCTATTCTGTAAACGTTTGTCAATTGATACTAGTCAACAAATAAATAAGTCGTCAACTGAAAGGCAAGCAAGTACTTATAACAATTTGACATGGATTTTTTTATTCTTAATAACCTTTTTCACAATATAATGCAAATGTATGTATGTTATAATTTCTTTTTTTAAATTATTATAATGTTATAAGTGTTTACTCATCTCTAACATTATTATGTACCTTAATTTTTAAGGAGGGAGATAAATATTAACCGGCGGACTTTAACGGATAGTAGTAATCCCCTGAATATTTCAGATAGCTTATTTAAGAAATTATTTAGAATTAACAAGCAAACCGCATATTGGTTAGCAGGAGAATTGGGTCCTCATATGAGAGATGGAAGCAGGTCTACATCTATTCCCATAATGCTTCGGGTACACAGATAAACATGTATTGATAGAATTTCAAGAACATTATTTTAGTTATTTACTGCAATTCAGTTCCTTGCTCAAGGTTCATACCAAAAAGCAGTAGGTCAAGACTTTTTAATTAGTATGTCGCAAACCTCTGTCAGTAGATGCCTTATTGAAGTTACCAATTTAATTTTTGTGTTTTTTGTAGTCATATTTAATTTATGGATGAAATGAGCGAAAACAAATTAGGAAATTACGAAACGATTTCAAAGTATGGTTAGAAGAGTGAGGTTTTAGGTTAGAATAACTAGATTTATTTGAACTACTATACATATTTGCAGCGTTGCCACATAGTAATTATTGACAACTTTAATGTCAATTAGCAGTCTTATCAACGCTGTTACCGAATACCAAATATTTTCCACATTGAGAATATTAGTTGATATCAAGTCAACTATTGACGGTAGTCAACCACGTTAGTGAATAGATCTGAATGATTCAATTCTTATTTTCTTTCTCCCTTTCTGGTTACGTTACAATTGCAAGAACTCATCAATTTTGTTGGAAAAATGGCAAAGCATGTCTTGATGGACAGAAAAATGATAGTCACTACTTTCCATTTTTACCAGATAAAGATATCTATCACAGGGACCTCTGAAACCATAGAAGATATGGCAAATCAGAGAAAAGATTCGTAATTAAAGAGTTATTATCGTGCTTTAAAAAAAACAGAAAATTCCGATAATTTCGCAGATATTCCAGAAAAACCGATTTCGTTTTAATTTTTTCTGATGTATTTGGCCAGGATACAACAAAATAAAACAAGTTAAAAAGTAATCGTAAACGATTTACATAAAGCGCATTTCCACTTGCATTCATTTCCCATTTGTAAGATGCAACTTCTTGTTAAAATCGTAAAAATCCGGCCACAAATATGAAAGATAGCGTTGCACATGGGCAATCCATTTTTGACGTGCTACTTCAATTTCAGTTTATGAGAAGAATTTCATTTCAATGCTTTTCTAAATAGGAAAGTTGGAACTGCGCATGCGCAAACCTAAATTTTGAAACTAATGTTAGATTTTCCTTTGTTCCAAGCGCCTAAGTATCAAATTTCACTTAAATGCTTCCATAGATAAAAAAGTTGGCATTGCGCATGCGCAAAATAAAATTTTGAAACTGGCGCTAGATTTTCCTTTATTCCAAGTGCCTATGTATCAAATTTCGTTTAAATTCTTCCATAAATAAAAAAAAGTTGGCACTGCGCATGCGCAAAACCAAATTTTGAAATTGGCGTTTGATTTTCCTTTATCCCAAGTGCCTATGTATCAAATTTCGTTTAAATTCTTCCATAAAT